TAATTTTAATCGCACATTTTATAGAATTTACACCTGTTATCAACTTTCAATTATACATTTCATCAAATTTTATCAAAAGTCATCAAATGGCAAAATATATTATAGTTTGAATAATGCTACTCGTACATAATGAAGTTACATAATTATTCACATGATGTCAAAAGGAGAGGTGATGTTTTTTTATTGAATAAATTGTAATCCAATCATATATCACGACATTGTGTGTATGTAAATCATATGTACATGTAGCACAACCATTATAATTTTGCAGTAACGGGTCCACGTAAATTGAAAATGGTCTACAATTCAAGTAGGTATATGCAACCATGTGCGATCATATGGTGGTTGGCCCTTATCCAGCCCTACAAAACAATCCTTTCACCTTGAAAATGAAAGATAAATCACATTATTATTCATTAATTTATTTAAAATTCGTTCATAAAAGATTGATTCATTAGTCGTCTTCTCGCATTTTCTTCACACATTCGTTCTTGGCAATTCCCCCGCCCCATTTTTCTCTCTCACACACACACAAGCGCACATGCATGTTTTATGTATATAGTAAACCTTGTGTCGAGACAACTTAAGTGTTGTTAATTTGAGCAAAGAGGTCCCTTTACTCAGAAGAGAACCTTCGTCTCTAAGGGTAGTAGGAGGAGGAGTTGGTTTGTAGATTCATTGTAAATGAAGCTTTGCCCTTTCTTGGCTTTTAAACCCTAAAAGTTGTCTTTGAATCTCAATCTTCTGTACTCAGCCATATACAGTCCATGAATACTCACAATCAACTCCCCTCGAGCCACAGTTCAGTTGAATCCAGGTTTGCTTCTGGGTTCCTTAAAGCCCTAAAGAAAATGAACAAGAATAGACCATCTTCACCATCTATCAGAGATACTTACAGAAGATATAATTTCATTAGGGTTTCAGCCTATGGATTGATGGCTTCAGCGGTCAGACCGGGGAGAGCATGGAGTCATGCTACACTTTGGAAGATACGAAACCGTACATTTCACCGTGCTTTGATGAAACGAAGCCGAACCCATTCCTTGACGAGAAGAGTTGCAAGAGGAAACCCTAGAAACGAGTTAGGTTGTGAGCAGGTAAATGATCTTCGGAAGCTTGTGCCAGGCGGTGAAGAAATGAAATTTTGCAGATTGCTGAATGAAACTGCTCACTACATGAAATGCCTTCAAGCCCAAGTACAGATCATGAGAAATATTGTAGATCATTATTCCACTTGAGCTATACTTTCATTCATGTATCGGTAAAACTCCAAGTGATGAGAACTGGAAAAGATGATCTTCGTCCCCGAGGTTGTATCGTATTCAGAAGTAGATGTCTTGAACATCATAGTATATGTCGTATATTTACCCTAATCCTCTTAGGGTAAACTATACATATTTGTTTTATATGCATTTTAATAATATTGTGGTGTACTTTTATGGTAATATATTAGTTATATGCTTTATGTCCAGCTCTTTCCTCTACTGACTGGCAGCAGCCAAGTTATGTTCTTCGATAAAAATTAACAACCAGCAGCAAAATTGTTCAACTAGGTTGTAATCAAAGCTACGTTTAGACTTGGTTAACAAAGGAAGTGGAGTGAC